ACTGATATTGCTTTCACAGGGAAGACTAGATTTTTCACTCAAAGATATGACTGGAAGGATGTTACTACTTTGTTACTTATAATTACAATATGTTTTATCATTGGCAAAAGGTAAGACAAATAGATAATATGACGATTCACCTCTTTATGTCTTTTGTGCTCATACAGCATCCATAAGAGCATACACAGGAGTATATTCTCTGGGTAACAGGTGGTGAAGGCCCTATTTCAATGGGACTGAATGAGTTAAGTTAACAAAGCACATGCTGTTAAGAATATGTTCCTCTAGCAGAAAAGAAAAAAAAATTTGCTGATGACAATTCAGATTGACAGAGTTCCCCTACCCATGACAGGACAGATTTCAAGGAGAAGGATCTCCAAACATACATTCAGAGAGGATTGAGTTGTAGTCTATCTACTATTTCTCTTCTGAAACCACAGTGAATGGAAGTTATTGAATGTGAGCTATGTGCACACTCTTAAATCAAAAATGGTTGAAAGACAAAGCAGAAATATGTGCTAGTGGCTGTAAACTCACCTGGAGTGGTGGACATCCTATCTGCACCACTGCTCACTTTCACAAGAAATAATTCTGGGGGGATCCAAGGAAATGAATGCAATAAGGAAGGAATATCTCAAATGATAAAAACTGTAAAAGACTGGAATTGTTTATTTTGGAAGGAGACAAGGGAGATGCAACTAATAGTTCAGGAACAGGTAGAAGTGTTGAACTGAAGGAAATAATACTACTTAAAAAGGAAATGCATACCTAATTGGACTATGAAATTCTTTGTCATAGAATACAATTGAAGCAAGAGTATATCAAACTCAGAAAGCAAAATGATATTTCGTTATTCATCAGAACAACTATATTACTAATAATTATCTTGATTAATATGTTATGTTGCTTGTTAACTATTTCTTTGGTAATGGATTATTGTTAGCAAACATTTGCTTTCTAAATATGCCATCTCATATTATTCTCACTGGAAGTGAATGAGACCATCAGTAAAGGCATATCTTTTCAGAAAAGACTTTTGGAATTACCTTTCAAGTTTTCCATAGAAATGAAACTAAACTGCCTATGGGAAAGATGGTGGCCATTATGCTAGAGACAGACAGTGTTTAAAATTGTTCCTGCTGAGCACAGTACAGGATTAAAATTTTGTCGGGCTGGAGAGGTATAAGAACACATTTTGCTGAATAGAGAGCCGATATGATAAACTGAGACATTTTACCAGTTATCCTGAAGTGAATACAAAATACAGCTCCTTCCTAAACTACATTTGAGTACTGCACTGAATATTTCTTGATGATCAAGCCAGTTGTTATATGTAGTAGAAGGCAAGTTTTAATTTCTTCACTCTGTCAGTATGTTCAAGGATAGATGAGAATAGAAAAATACAGGGCCAATCACTGGCAACCAAAAATGCAATTATCTCTGAGAAAGGTTAGCGTTTTATTTTTCCTTTTCTATTCCTTAACAAAAAAGAGCTAATCAAAAAATAAATAAATAAATAAGAAGAAAAAAAGAAAGAAAGAAAAAAAAATGTATGTGTTCAAAGTGTTTTGAATTTCAGTTAAGTCAAACACGAGCAAGAAATATGTTTCATAGACAGTGTGGGTAATATGTCCTGAGGTGTTAACACAGTTACTTGTTCAGTAAGTAAGGTCAAATTATGTGTGAGGCAGGGACATTTAGTATAAAAACAGTATTAATAATTCATGTGGCAAGCAGAGTAGTAGAATGATAAGATATAGTGATGGAGAGAAAAAAAAAAAAAAAAAAGAAAAGGTAGACAATGGAAAGAAAAGCTCATAGAAAATAAAAGCCAACAGGATAGAGGGGTGAAAATACCAATTAAGCCTTTTCTTATGAAGTGCCCACACATCTCAGTCTTACAATATGACAGTGATTCTTGTTTCTGTTATTTGCTTGCTGTTTATCTCAAGCCACAGTAACTCAGTAACACAGTGATTCAGCCAACTACATATTCTTTGCCATCACTGCAGAATAATAAAGAGAAACAAAGCTATCTGAATATGTAAATACAGTAGCACTACGGTAGGAGAAGTGACGAGATGCTTCAGGTCTGAAAAAGAAGAATTTTGCTATACTGGCCTTAAACTCCAGGGGAGATTTTATTTATGAAACTTTCTCAGGAGCCTGAAGTCTCCCATGAAGACTTGGAAGGGCTGAGCAAGCTGGCATGTTACTTATGCTCTGCCTATCTGGGTTCCAGAAAATAGGCCTTTTCTCAGCTTATGGTTCCTGAAAAGCATTAGGGATACTCATAGTTTTCCTGAAACCAGAGTCCTCATAAAATGAGGTTTCTTCTAGCTGACTCTTTTCTGTATTTATATGTGTAGAACTGCAGGTTATTGTCTTGAAACAGCATGACAGAAGAGCAAAGAAATGGAAGGGAGGCCACTAACAGCAGCTGGAAAGTAAGAGCATTCACAGAGGACAACAGGCTTGCAATGAACTCCTTTCTCTCCTCCTCATGTTTAAATATCAATGCTCTTTTTCACTCCTGTGGTTAACACTTTAAGGGCAGACATGAAGGGAAAGCAGAGATGAAGATCCGTCCCACAGAAGCAATATCCCTGGCCCTTGTGCACTTTCCTTCACGTCTCCGAGAACAGCAAGATCCCCCCCCCCCCCACTGTCTGTCCCAGGGGGACAGGGGGACCATGTTATGTGACTGGATGAGTCTCCATCATTTTATTGGGACCTCTCAGTCTGCTGCCTCGTTGTAGATGAGCAAAAGCATTGGGACCCTTCACCTGGTGGCTGTGCAACTCTGCCAAAAAAAAAAAAAAAAGTCCTAAAGCAACTTTTAATTAAAATTACTTTTAATTCCTAAAGTCACATGACTTTAAATAAATAAAATGTAAATAAATAAATAAAGTCACATGACTTTAAATGAAGTCATGGACTAATTTTGAGTGGAAGGGGTCTCTGGAAGTTAATTAGTCAACCCCTGTGTCAAAGCAGAGCTGGCTTTGAAGGTACCTCAGGCTGTGTGTTACATCAGGACCTTGTCCAGTGGATCTGTGACAGTCTTCAAGGATGGAGATGCAGCCTTTGGGGGTAACGTGTGAATTTGGTTTTGTTTTTGTTTTGGTGAAGAATTTTGCCTTGTATCTAACTGATTTATTTTATTTTTTTCTCATGGCAGCTGTGATTATTACCTGTTGTTCCTTGTGCATGCTTGAGGAAAGTCTTTCTTTGTCTTCTCTATAGCTACCATTCAGGTAGCTGAAGACATCAACTAGGCCTTCTCTTCCCCAGGCTAAAGAAACAGGGTTCACTAAGCCAGCCTTTGGTCATCATGGTATCCAGCATCACAACCACTTTCGTGGGCCTCTACTGGATTTCTCCAGTTCATCTATCTCTCCTGTACTGGCAGACCCAAAACTGGGGACAATTCTGCAGATGTAATTTCATAGTTGCCAAATAGAGGGGAATAATTATGTCCCTACAGCTATGCTACTACTAAAGCAGCCCAACATGTGGCTCAGATGGTTTTCCACAAGGAGTCCCAGAATATTTTGGGCTGAGCTGCTCCCCAGACTGAGAGACCCTGGCCTGTACAGTTATATGGGGTTATGCCATCCCAACTACAATAATTTTCTTTTTTGTTGCTGTTTTTGTTTTGTTTGAATCCTATGCGGTTCCTGTTAGTCCATCCCTCTGGCCTGATGGATCCCTGTTTGGCTATATTGGTGCTTATCTCCAGCTCCATTACCATCTCAAGAATTCAAACTAGACCTTCCCAAACAAAACTTCTCCAGAGAAAGCTGGTCTGTTGTATCAAAGTATTCCCCAATTTAGAACCACCTGCTAACTCAGCAAGGGTGTGTTCATATTACCCAGGTCATTTGAAGATGACAGATTAACAACCCCATTACCAATCAGCAAAGAACACCAGTCATGGAGGATCTGGATAGGCTGCACCGATGGGCTGAGGTCAACTGTATAAAGTTCAACAAGGCCAAGTGCCGGGTCCTGCACCTGGGGCGCGATAACCCCAAGCAGAACTACAGGCTGGGAGAGGAATGGTTGGAGAGCTGCCAGGCAGAGAAGGACCTGGGAGTGATGGTGGACAGTCGGCTGAATATGAGCCAGCAGTGTGCTCAGGTGGCCAAGAAGGCCAACGGCATCCTGGCTTGTATCAGAAACACTGTGACCAGCAGGGCTAGGGAGGTGATCGTCCCCCTGTACTCGGCTCTGGTGAGGCCGCACCTCGAGTACTGTGTTCAGTTTTGGGCCCCTCGCTACAAGAAGGACATCGAGGTGCTTGAGCGGGTCCAAAGAAGGGCGACGAAGCTGGTGAGGGGCCTGGAGAGCAAGTCCTATGAGGAGCGGCTGAAGGAGCTGGGCTTGTTCAGCCTAGAGAAGAGGAGGCTCAGGGGTGACCTCATTGCTCTGTATAAGTACATTAAAGGAGGCTGTAGAGAGGTGGGGGTTTGGTCTGTTCTCCCATGTGCCTGGTGACAGGACGAGGGGGAATGGGCTAAAGTTACACCAGGGGAGTTTTAGGTTAGATGTTAGGAAGAATTTCTTTACTGAAAGGGTTGTTAGGCACTGGAATGGGCTGCCCAGGGAGGTGGTGGAGTCACCATCCCTGGAAGTCTTCAAAAGACGTTTAGATGTAGAGCTTAGGGATATGGTTTAGTGGGGACTGTTAGTGTTAGGTTAGAGGTTGGACTCGATGATCTTGAGGTCTCTTCCAACCTAGAAATTCTGTGATTCTGTGATTCATAATTGCTTCCAGGTAAACTTTGAGCTGGTGACCATTATGTTTGAGTCTGACAATCCAGTTAATTTAATACCCATCATGTAGTGTACCCATCCACTACATATATTCTCATTATGGCTGCAAAAATACTAAAGGAACTTTGTTAAAAGATTTCCTAAAGTTAATGTAAATGATTTAACTCCCCATGCCCCCTGAGCCTGCCATTTCATTGTGGAAAGCAATCAGGCTGGTCAAGCATGATTTATCCTCATTTATTACCCATGATTTATCCAGACTGTGTTCACAATCACCTTGTCCTTCATGTGCCTGGAAATGGCTTCTGTGTATAACACCATTTTTTTAATAAGCCCTGGAAAAAAAATGCAAGGTCTGGGATGCAGCTCTTGGCTACACGCTCCAGGTACCAGGACAAGAATTCATAGGTATTCACCATGCCAGAGCTAAAGTTTTTGTATAAAGTGGAATACCTCCCAAAGAGAGGCAAGCATTGTGTTCTGTCCCAGAACAGTATGTGGTTTGACTTGCAGTGGCAGGGTTTCTCAAGGACTTCTGCACTCCACAGTTTGGCACCTACAAGAGAAAAGAGTATAAGTTAAGACACATCCTTGCCTAGATCACTGACTTTTGTGAATACTCGTTTTAGAAACTGACGTCACTGCGCATTGGTGTTGACATAAGTGCTGTAATTCCTCTAACAGGCTTTTGTGTTATAATGCCTAAATTTGTCACTTTAATCCTTAACTTTAACCTCTGTGTACCCCATTGATACTTCAGTAATGTCCTGTGTACTTCAGTGGCATTCACACAGTAGGCAGAATTGAAGGTGCTACAAACATTTAATATAATGATGAGAGGAGTAGAGCTTGAGGCTAGAGTCAGGAAAACCTGTCATGTGTACCTAAGTAAACGTGCAGCCTGGACTCAGACCCTCACATTATCCCACACATTATCAGGGCAGAGAGTATTTACCAAAAGCCAGTAAACAGAGATAGGAAAGATTTAAAGTAGCAAGTAGAAAATTCAGAGAAAATAGCAAGTTTTTAATCACATACACAACTGAGTTAGCAAGGTGACTCAATACAGAAGGACACACTTCACTTACTAGGATTTATCTAAGTGAAGGATAGGGATAAATTTATTTTCCAGTAAACTTTTCAAATTCTTTGATTTTGGGTATGAGGTTCCCATGATGTACTGATAATCCGTTACATGTTTACAGCTACAGATCATTACCTGTGCAGAGAACAGGACCGTGCTTTTTTTGAAATCCTCTGGTTTGTGAGCATTTGGGGAGTATTTAGAAGTGATTAAAATATTTTAGAGGCATTTTCTAGACATCAGGGGAGGGCTGTGTAGAGGAAGATGTTTCTTATTTTCAATGGTTTGGGCTGATTTGGGTTAAATATGAACAAAAAGAAGAAATGTTTTGCCCTTTCCTCCTCTGCATTTCTGTGAGTGATAAAACTTGAGCTGTGCTGCCAAAATAATCACAGCTTAGAAAGCTGCTTTGAGGGATGGGGATTATCTCCATTATCACAGCTCTTCCAAAGGTATGAGCATAGAGGACATCAATCTGATAAGACAAAAATCCTTGTATTTGTGTTCCCATATCTATAAATTCTATAATGCACCCCGAGGCACCAAATAGAGTCACACTCATGCCATGCCTTACTCATGCAAGTAAGAGTTCGGGATTATTTCGTGTCCTGAAACCATGGAATGGTGATACATAAGACCAGACTGTAAATGACTTGTCCCTTCATTTAGACACAAACCACAGCTCTGCTGCAGCAAAATTTGCCCTGTCTAAGTCCCAGAAATACTTCCAGTGGCAGACCAGGATATAGGCAGTACCTAAGGTCATCCTTTTGCACTATAATGGGCATAAAATTGTGTGCACTCACCAGTTTCCTTCTCAGATTCAGGTACAAACTGTGCCAGAGGGACTGTCAACAAGATGCATCTCACAGACAGCTCAGCTGTACCTGTGCATCTCTGGTTGCAGGTCAAACTAGTCCTTGATGCACAGTGGGAAGATGGACATACTGCTGATACCCAGGCAGCAGAGTCTGAGCACGGTCTCCAGTCTGGAGGATGTCTTCTTAACTGTACTATATGTGCATATTTTTCAGACAGCTTAAGAGCTCTTGACTTGCTGTCTTCTCTGTTCAGATACTTATGATGTTTTCACAATACTCTCCTGTTTCTTCTGACTTCTGCCTCTTATAATTAACTCTTGCACACACATAAAATCACCCTACATCCCTTCCATGCATGCTCTGAAGTTTATATTTACAAATGTAATCACAACATGGATTGTAAAGCATGAAGGACCAGCAACTGCATGTGACCAAAGCACTTCTACATTCTGTGGCAAAGCTTAAAAGGTTTGACAGTCACACTTGAAATGTAAGCCCCTGAGCAGGCAGAGACAGGGAGCAGCAGTGTATCAGAACCAATCTACTCACCATGAAAGTAAAACATTGCTTAGCTCTTGCTCTTCTTCTCTTCTTGTTGTTATCCAATTAAATAACTGTAACAATGGGAAATGACATAATTGGTTGATTGGGTTTCTGGAAATATAACACATGTGCCTTGTGACCCAAACAGACTCACAGAGCAAGCAGACAGAGGAAATAGCAACAAGAGACAGAATCCTGTATTAGACTGGAGTCAGGACCGAGTTGTTAAAAAGGTAAAGGGGAAAAAAACTTCCTCCATGGCCTGAAAATGTGTATACTTGAATTATACTGATATCATTGGCAAATGCTTTGTGTTCAGGTTCCTCAATTATACAAAATTGTCAAATCAAATACTAGAATAATTTAGTAATTCTGCATCTGTTCAGCACTCAGGCTGTCTCTGGTTAGATGCTGTAATCCGGTTCACAGGTAGAACTATACTAATGATGCTATGTTTTCTGACTAACAAGATGCTACTTTAGCCAATACAAAAGGAAAATACATGAGCTGATTTGGAGAAGAAGTACTACAAAAAATTGGAGGAGACAGGTGGGGATGAATATAACAAATGATAAAGCTGGGAGAACTGATGAAGTGGGCTATTTTTTTAAAGATCAAATAAAGTTATTTCCAGCAAAACCATGGGAAATGGTTTTCCTCTTTCATATAATGGTTGAACAAAAATGTCCACACTTGAGCAAGATATCAAACAAGTTAATTTTCTGCCCCGCTGTAAGAACAGATGCTGGTAAGCAAGACAGCAGGTCAAGGGACAGTGTGGAAGCAGCAGCTTAAAGCATCACCATTTTCCTCCTTCTTAACCACCACCTTTCTCTCCCTTCCTTCATAAGACAGGGGACTGGTGAGAAAAGAAAAAGGAAAAAAAAAAAAAAAGTATATATCATTAAAAATATAATGAGGTGAAAGAAAGATCACTTGAAAGTCAGGAGATGGCAGATAGGCCAACCTCTCAAAGCAGTGGAAAGCATTATTGATAGGTGATATCAATAATAAATGTGAACAGGAGGTAAGAAGCTGTGAGGAGGATGCAAGTGCAAGTTTACACTTGAAGAAGAGGAATGGAGCATGTTTGGGCTAATGAGGAAGCAGCTACTCTGCTAAGGGCAGGAGGTTACTTGCTCTGACTTCTCTTCTGGCTTAGTTTATGCATGGTGGAACTGGAAGATTTTGGGATCTTTGCTTCCTAGTACTGCCACTGGGGAAATCTCTCCTGTTCTCTGTGTGGCACTGAGGCCAAGTAATTCTGAGCCTCAGCTCTTTTAGGTAAAATGCAATGCTAAAATCTGCAGATGTGGATGGTGGAAAAGCCAAGTGTAGAGCTGGAAAAGTTTCTTTCAAACAAAAATTACCTCTCTCTTATCCACTCTTCCGTGTTTGTGCCAAGTACATTCCAGTACATCCTGAATTACTGTTCATATGATGGTAAAAGATTATGCTGTCCAGTCAAGACTCACAATGACTAATGAAAATCTTTTTCTAGTCATTCAGGTTAAGACTCGGCTCTGCTGCTATTGACGACAGCAACAATAACAACATTACTGTTGTTTCTAAAGGGGAATATGAAGAGCTGAAGAACTTGTGCCTATAGTTATCCTCACATATCCTCATCTCAGTGCTGCTCAGCACATATTATACATATTTGGGGAATATCTTTGAAATCCCTGAATGTTCCAAAAATACCTAATTTGTCTGGAAACCTTATGTGATTTTCTCAAAGAACTTCAGAAGCTTTGAAATTCCTCTTAGTATGGAATGGTAATGAATCGATTGATGGTTTTGTCTCATTTTGTTATTTCTAGACAGGACTATGAAAATAAAAACTAAACGGCAATGAAAACAGGCAGATCTGTCCTTCAGAACTTCTCAGAAACAAAGTTAAAAAATAGAATATTAGTATTTTAGGAAAAATCATTCTAACTGTTTAGAGAGTCACCTCTCTTTATCTAAACGTTATGCCTTTTGCTATTTGTTTCCAAGGAGCGCTGCCCTTTCTCCTCCACTTGCCTGGTTAAGTGCTGAAGATGTGAATTCCTAAACCTAGATTCAGTGCACTTTTCAGAATCAAAGACAAGTTTTTGAAAATTAAGGATGAGGATAAAATTTCTCCTCAGTGTAAGAGCAAGACCTGCCATGAAATCAAGATGTAAAAATCTAATCAGTCTTTCTAAGGATTGGAATAATTAGTAGTGATGGAAATATGTACAGAAATTTGCTTTCAGCAGCTGTTGTAAGCAGATATTCTTCAAAGAACATTTTAAAATAACATATTTTAAATAGGTATTTAATCAATGATATATTAACCAGAATTGTTGTCTTTCCTGTTTTCTTTATGTTTAGAACCAGGTGAGAAAAGCTGGGTGTATGCCCTCAGATAGTGATTTTTGTTTTTGTTTTGTTTTGTTTTGTTAACACAGTATTTGCAACTGGATAACCTTTAGGGGAGTTTTTCTAGGGTGTAATTTTCATGAAACTACAGAGAAGTGGAATTACTTCTTACCTCAAGCTAAACTGAATTTATCTCTTACTAAAATCTCAGTTGTTTCTTAGTATTGCCTCTAGGCTTTGCAGCACTTTCTCCTACTTGTGACAGCATCTTTTTACCCTTGAGAACTTCAGATAATTTACCCCAGAGAAGGGTTGTCATATAGGATTTAAACAATGATTTAGGGCCTAGTACCTAGAATAAAGGGGAACAAAACCTCTGATATCATCTAGTCTGGGCACCAGTGAATGCAGTGTTGTGCCTTTTAGATATAGTTAGATATAGTTCCACAGTCTAAACCACTGCAATGCCCAGGAGCATTTCCTGACACTCACTCTACCACTTGCCTCACTTAATATCATCCCATTACTCTTAGTTATGGCCTCTTCATTTACTTTTTTTTTAAAACCCTCACATTTTGGGTGCATAAACCTGCCATATATGTACAGGCACATTCACATTGTGTTATCCAATGCACAAAAAATGCAGCACACTCTGCCCAGGACACTCTCCTCACTTTTATGAAAGGGAGTATAGGGCGAACCTTAACAGGTTGCATTTGATTATATGTGGATGTCATGAACAGAGTCCAACATGCAACTTGTCTGATCCCAACATTCATCTTTGAAGAAAGTTGATGTTATGTCTTAAAAGTGCCCATTTCCATTATGTGTAAAGAGGTTCTTATCTGGTTAGTTTGTGTAAAGTCCACACTGCAGTTATGTAAAGCTGGGTGAGATATGCTCCATCTCAGTTCACTGCAACTAACAAAATAAATGAAAAATAACAGATCTCTCATGAGCAGGGTCCTCTCCAACACTTACAAGAGCAGAGCATAGGGAGATCTCATACCTCCTCATTGCAGCTGCTGCATAGCCTGGTTCATCACCCCCATCAGTGTACACTTGTGTCGTGGTCCACACCTACAAGGTGTTGAGTGCTCTACTTCCAGCCTGAAAGCATCCACTTTTTCAAAGCATTCCCCATGCTCACAGTTAAGCACTCAGCTGGGCATTTAGAACATAATATGAACAACCTGCTGGTTCTAGCTTTGGGACATCTGTCTTTACACAACCCCAACTGCAGGTCTGACAAGCATTAGTTTTTTCACATATAATAAAACCGTGTGTAGAGGCATGAATTTAATCATTCTTTAATCTTACAGTTTAATTTGATCTAATAATTAAAAGCAGAAAAAGGAAGTTTAAGAGCCCGTATTTGATATCTTGTAGTAGCAAATTAACTAATAAAATACTAGAACACTAACTCTATTCTACTCTTGGTAGACATATGGGGAAAATAAACTGAACTTCCTGACACTGCTTCAGTCAACTTTTTTTTCCCCTGTCTGAGCTTTTTTTGTGAATGTTATCTATATCTTCAAGCAGAAACATGTGATATTGTAGACAGACCAAATGTTTTAGTATTGCTGCAGTGTGCTTGCCATTCCTCTCTGACTTCAGTCTATGTAAAGATTACAGCACTTGCTATCATAATGCAATTTTTAAAGTAACTTTTTGCTTGCTGAGGGTCAATAGGACAAAAGGCCATTCCATAGCAATTACTTTTCCCATGGTTTAAAAAGGAAATTTCAGGTCATGTTACTTAAAAATGTGATTTTTTTCCCCCTAATATTTTAGTTGCTTACTTCCTGCCAATCATGCTTCACTGAAGTTGCCTCAGATATTGTTCAGAGCTGTGTGTTGTGCTGTTCATCTGACCTGTAGGCAAAAAGTAGTTCTCATCAGAGAAATAATCCTGCTTTTCTTAAAAAATAAAATAAAATAAAATCCCCAGTAAGGAAAAAAAATAATAATAAAAAAAAACTAATACTGAGGTGAGCAGGTGTTTTCAAGAACTCACTGGATTTTTTTCTGCAGCCAGGAATGTATCACTTTAGAAGGGGAAAGTTATACTTGTCAGCTTCCTGACTGCCAAGTGTCATATTAATCCTGACTTCAGGTGGATACTGTGACAGTGCCTTCACCCTTGATAAACCATTTAGTCTCTGTTCAGTCTACTAAAGAGTCTTCAGACTCTCATTGCACTGTGGTGTGGCTTTAGCTGATAAATCAGGCAGAGGATCATTTTCCTCTCTGCCCTCCCTTCACCACATTAATATTGATTATTTGGAAATAAGGAGTCCCAAGGAGTGGAAGTGGATATGCCTCATTGCCTTGAACAATTCTTTTCCCTCTATTGGGGCAGTACAAGGTAAATTAATAGTGTGCTTGCAGACACTAGATAATGTTAATGTACTTGCTATTGATACAGCGAAATAACATGAGTAACTTCAGCTTTACTTAAAACAAAACATTAATTTTCTGAGGCCACTAGGATTTATGCAGCTGGTCAGTATAGTGCATGCAATCTTTGTTTTTAAATAAGCAACATTTGCTTTTTTAAACATGAAGTAGGATTTTAGTGCCTGATGAAAGACAAAAGGTGATTTTAATTCATTGCTTATGCTCTCAGGCTGTTGTCTGCCTTTAATCTAAGTCCCTGCTTGATTTTGTGGCTAAGAAGATGTCTTTTATACTAGGTAATAATATACAACATTATCCCCTGTGATCCTCTGGCTATGTAAAAATGCAAATCTGTAAGCATGATGTCTGTAGTTTTGTATATGTGTCAAAAAAATAAAAGTTTCAATATAAAGAAAATATGTTGGCAACGAAGGAAACCCCACCAGCAACGAAGGAAACCCCACCTCCATATCAGTCTAATTAAATGTTCTGGGAAAGTATTACATTTGTATTTGATTAAATAGAGGGTACTTAACAATAGACTGGACCTCTGCTAGTTGAAAGCACAGATGGTAATGGAGCCACAATACTTGACCTTTGAGGCACGTTTAAAATACCTTCATCCTACCTGAAGACTTCATCTCACAGTTTCTCCTGCTTTTGCTGTATGAGGACCATCTCACTTGCTGTGATGGGAAATTTGGAGGAAACTGCTAGTGCAGAGTATTGGTGAATCTACTGCTATGCAGGTGATGGTTGTACTTCCACAGTGCTGTCTAGCACAGATCACAGCACAGCAGCATGGGCTGGGACACAATGGAGACACTGCCATGCAGAATCAAAGTGTTGCCACGTTTCCTTTTCTCTTCTGGCCCCACCAACTCGCTATACAATTCTGTGCAGCTCACCTGAACTTAAAGTTGTTCACCCATCTGTAACTCCAATGTAGTAATAAATTATGGGTAGAACATCAATTACAGCAAATTTGGCCCTGCTTTTCTCTTTGCACTCTGATCTTAATTTTTACAAACATGTTTCTAGCTCATAAATATTCACGGAAAAGCTCGTGTAAACAATTTTTTTTCTACACGTTATTCATGCACTGCTTGCTTAGATTGTGCAAGTTCCTCTATGCGTTACTTATGGTGGATGAATGGTCATAAAAGTCACATATTATTACTTCTGGTACCGGACTGGGTGACTGAATTTTCTAGGCAGGAATATAGCAAACAACAAACTGTGGATAATGAATAGCAAGTAACAAATAACAAAATATACAGAATGAATATTTGGAGGAATAATTATTTGTGCTGAAAATCATGAAACTTTTAGGATTTGCCAGCATTTTTTCTCCCAGACAAACTGGTATTCATTTGAAAGCTCATGAATGATAGATAATCTCATCTCACAAATAATGACAGTTCAAACCTCAATTAAACAAGCCTCACAAAACCCCTGGGAGATAGGCAGTAATAACAGTTTTATATTACTAAAACTGATACGTGAATATTTTCCCAAAGAAGTATGGCATTTGAGGGGTATTTTTACACCACTGAAAGAAATACACTACTGCAAATGAGTGAAAAATACCATTATTATATTTGTCAGATTCCAGCATGCAAGAAAATTAGATGAAGGACACTCAAGAAAGCATCTCTGGTGGACTGAATAAGGAAAACAACATCATTTATTTGTGGCAGGTCAGCACAGAACCTCTTCCAGACTCAGCGAATCCTACAGTTACTTGACAGCATGCCAACCAACAGAGCAAATGTCGAAAATTCCTTCTCACCCTGTTCTGTTCCTTTAAATGATTAATTGTACGCAAAAAAAAAAAAAAAAAAAAAAAAGTAGATAATCTGTACCTATCCAGCCCATCAGGAGAGAACAAAACCTGTTTTCTGCTGCACGAGTTTCAGAATTCCAAGTGGATCTTACAGAATTCATTATTCGCTATTTGTACTAAGGTGGCATCAGTCCAGGGTCATGCAAATGGCCAAGGCACCTTTCTGCCTCTTCAGCTGCCTCACTCATGGCTATATAGTACTGATATTCAAGTCCTAAACACAGTCTTATTTTTCTGACTCTGCATCTATGCCGGAAGTCTATGGTAAAGTTGCATTACACACAGTATGCCCACAATAAGAGGAATCCCATTTCTTTACAGATGCAGAACTCGATGTTTATCTGAGAGAACTTACGACCAAAGAATGAAGTTTATAGGAGATCAGCTTTCATCATGCTTCACTACTGTAGGGCTGGAAGTGCTGAAGCACAAGCGGCAGGAATGTAGTAAACTAAAACTCATTGCAAGCCTTCCAGCAGTATCTTTGTTGGAGCACTTTGGATACCAGCTTGCTATCTTCTTACTATAGCCTCTTTCCCCAGGAGCTAATAGGGAACTTAATTAGGCATAATATTAGCAGTTCTTCAGTTGTGTGCAAAGGTCCTATAAAGCACCTACAGTGCTCCAAGTAAGTTTTGGAGATTCTGTACTCTCTATACTCAAACAGAGAGTTGTAAAAGGGACATTTTTAAGAAGATATGATGAAGTGAGCAATTTCCAACCCCCCAAAAAGATTTCTTATGTAAAGTGACAAAAAAGCAAGCATACAAAATCCACCATCTTAAAATCATAGAATGATTTGGATTGGAAGAGACCTTAAATCTTCTAAATGTATGTTTCAGTGCTTAATAAGTTTATACTTGCATTTGTACTTCATTCTGTGATTGCCCAGAGAGGCTGAGGATGCCCCCGACCTGGAGGTGCCCAAGGCTAGGCTGGATGGCGCTTTGGGCAACCTGGTCTGGTGGGAGGTGTCCCTGCCCATGGCAGGGGGTTGGAACCAGATGAGCTTTAAGGTCCCTTCCCAACCTAAACCATTATGTGATTCTGTGATTTATGTTTGGCTGCTCAGGATGGAGAGAGAGAAGAAAGAAACTTGGTGGGCATTGCAGTGACAAGTATCAGCACTGAAGCTGGTCTCCATGCTATTGTTAATCTGGCATTCTCAAAGTAGGAAGAATTGGGGGTAAATTCCTATTAAGCCAGCACAGCCCTTCTTAAAATATCAAGTTATCAGTGCTCATACCCTCTTGAACCTTTCAAACTCTTAACAGCTTGTTTTTCAATTTTCTTTTACAGCTTGAGTTTTCAAAAACTTACTTTTTTTTTTTTTTTCTCTTCCTCCCGCCTGGAGACATTTATCTTCCCAGAATGTTGAAATTCCCTCACACTGCAGGATAAAAGAGCTAGTGCAAGTTTGCAACTTTATCAGTATACTGTCACACTTCTACCTCAGTCCAGGGCTAGGAAAGCAGGCTCAGAAATGGCAGAAAAACCTGTGACATGGTAGCAGGGAGGAATGCACCTTGTGCTTCCACAGCTGTACCTGGAGTTAGACCCCTCCAGAGGTATAGTTCTTTTTCTGCCATTGATTTCTGCTCTGACCTTTGGTTGCTTGTTAAATCCTCAATTTTCAAAGGTGCTAAATGACTGCCACTAGGTAAAATCCTGTTTTTAACTGAGGTCAGTAAGAGCTTTGCAGCTGGAAGCCAGGATTTCATCTGTTCACTTCAGCTGCAGCTGTGAGTGCTCAGAAAATCATGCAGCTGGGGAAGGTAGACTGGGTGAAGGGAGAGGTTAGGTCAAAACCAAGTTGGAAGTAGCTTTGGCTGTGTTTAGTTAACTTCAAGGTATGATTCTGCCCCACAAGTTGTGAGGCAGATTAGCAACTGACCCAATAAAGTAAGGAATTACTTCTCCGTAAAAGCCGTGCCATGCAGCCTGTGAAACGAATGCTTGATTATAAATGAAATACAAAAGCTTAGTACCTAACATAAGTCATGTTAACAGAGAATATGAAGGAATACCACATCATGTCTTCCTGGATTCAGAAGGCCTTTGACACTGTCATCCATAAGATCAGAAGCTGTTGAAGCATGGTCTGGATGAGCAGACAGTGAGGTGGATTGAAAACTGGCTGATCAGCTGGGCCCAGAGGGTGGTGGTCAGTGGTGCAAGGTGTAGTTGGAGGCCAGCAATGAGTGGAGCACTCCAGTAGTCAATATCAGATCCGGTCCCATGTAACATCTGCATTAATGATCTGGATGGACTTTTAGCCTGCAGAAGAGAAGGCCCAGGGAGGATCTTATCAATGTGTATAAATACCTGAAGGGAGAATGCAATGAAAACAGAGCCAGGCTCTCTTCAGTGATGCCCAGTGCCAGGATAAAAGGCAATGGGCACAAACTGGAACACAAGAGATGCCATCCAAACATCAGGAAGCATTTCTTTATTGTGCAGGTGGTAAAGCACTGGAATAAGTTGCTTAGAGAGGTTGTAGAGTCTCTCTCCTTGGAGATCTTCAAAAGCTGCCTGGGCATGGTCCCAGGCAACCTGCTGTAAGCATTCTTGCTTGAGTGAGGAGGTTTGGACAAAATGACCTCCAGAGGTCCCTTCCAACCTCAGCCATTCTGTGATTCTGTCACAACACATAAGGCTATACAAAGTGGTATGCACTACTGCATCTTTCTGTAGGTGTCATCCAGAGTTTTTCAGTGTGGATAAGATGCCATCTATCAGAGAAATCATTCCACTTTGAAGCTTGAAATCCTAACAAATAAAGTATCTGGAGTATTTTCTGGTAAGGAGAGGTCACTGAAATCCAGTTACAAGTAATAATTCAGTTGAAAGCTGTATTTTATTTCTTTTTCTTCTGCCATGTACTGCTTATCTGTCTCCTTTCTCTTACACGTGTTGAGCAGTAGAATGACCCTCAGGAATAAATAATATAAGCCACAGAAGTCTCCAGTACTGTATATTAAAGTAGTGCCTTGCATTTAATGCCAGAATAATGCTTAATTCAGCCAAACATCTGAATATATTTTAATCTATAAGTTTATCAATAGCTTTTTGGCATTAAAAAGACTGCATACACTGAAAGCTAAGAATATGAGAAACTGCATTTCTGAATAAAAGCTAAATGGAGCTGAGATACAAGCAATGTGAGGGGACAATAATTCACTTAAATCATAGAATCATTAGGGTTGGAAAAGACCTTCATGATCATCTGGTCCAACCATTCCCTGACCACCAATGTCACCCACTAAACCATGTCCCTAAGCACCACGTCCAACCTTTCCTTAAACACTCCCAGGGACAGTGACTCCACCACCTCCCTGGGCAACCCATCCCAATGCCTGACTGCTCTTTCTGAGAAGAAATGTCTCCTCATTTCCAACCTGAACCTCTCCTGGCACAACTTGAGACCATTCCCTCTTCTCCTATCACTAGTTATCTGCAAGAAGAGGCCAACATCCTGCTCTCCACAACTTCCTCTCAGGTATTTGAAGAGAGCAATAAGGTCTCTCCTGAGCCTCCTCTTCTCCAGACTAAACAGCCCCAGCTCTCTCAGATGCTTCTCACAAGGCTTGTGTTCCAGGCCCCTCACCAGCTTCATAGCCCTTTTCTGGACACTCTCCAGAGTCCTTGTATGTCCTTCTCAATGTTCTTCTTGTAGTGAAGGGCCCAAAACTGAATACAGTACTTGAGGTGCAGCCTCATCAGAGCTGAGTACAGGGGGACAATCACTTCCCTGGTCCTGCTGGCTACACTATTCCTGATACAAGCCAGGATGCCAGTGGCCTTCTTGGCTTACTGGGCACACTGCTGGCTCATGTTCAGGTGAGCATCAATCAGCAACCCCAGGTCCTTTTCCTCTGCACAGCTTTCCAGCCACTCTGCCCCAAACCTGCAGCGGTTGTTTTGACCAAAGTGCAGGCTACGTTGAACCTCATCCTGTTGGCCTCTGCCCATCGACCCATCCTGTCCAGGTCCCTTTACAGGGCCTTCCTACCCTCTGGCAGATCGACACTTGCATCATCCAACTTGGTGTCATCTGCAAACTTGCTGAGGGTGCAGTCAATTCCCTCATCCAACTTGTCAATAAAGATATTAAAGAGTGTGGGCCCCAATACCAATCCGAGTGGAACACCAGTGGGGACCAGTCACCAGCTGGATTTCACTCTGTTCACCACCATTCTCTGGACTGCCTGTCCAGCCAGTTTTTAACCCATTTTAACCCATATTTTAATAATAATAATAATAATAATAATAATAATAATAATAATAATAATAATAATAATAATAATAGTAATAATAATAATAATGATGTTCTGATATACTATAATAAATATAATAACAAAGGGTATAACAAAAGGAGACACATCATCCTACAGATTAGCCAAGTTGTTTGCAATAAACTAGCTAAAATATGTGCTTTTCATCAGTTTTTCATCTCAGAAAAAATCGGACAGAGCCTTCACAAACTACAGAAATGAGAACACTTCCCACATCCAAATGTAAATGCATCTTTTTGCCCATCCGCAGTTATAAATAGAACTGGTTGACATTTTTCTTTCACATTGCTTGTCAATAACAAAAAAAAATGGCATTTCAGTTGTTTTTTGTTTGGTTGTTTTTATTGCTTTTTTGTTTGTTTTCTTTGTTTTTGAATTTTCTAGACCTATTGGTGTTCTGTTTGGACTTTATTTCATGAGGCTTCCAAAATGAAAATAAAAGTAACCTTTCGTCAATGCACACTTCTTTGTTTAATCCCTTTGCAAAGTGAAAAGCTTCTGGATTTCCCTAGTGTTTTGTTTTTTGCATTACCATGAGATGATGTAGGGCATGTTGCTATGTTTCCCTAATCATATAGATCATAAATGTAATTCAAAAAAAGGACTGAACATTTAGATAGATAATAAGACTTTGGCTAATTTAACCATTAGCAACTGATGATTTAAACAGGTGATTTCTAGTGAGGATGATAGTTTATATTGGATATCAGGAGAAAAAATGACCATGTGATTGGATTTTGGCTGAGGTGAAGTTTTCTTCCTTGATGCCCAGAGGGCTGGCAGTCCAGATACAAAGCAGCAGAGAAGAGGGATGATAGGTTTGACCCTGAATGATATTTCAAATCAATTCTTTGCAAGATTTTTATTTTTAAAAAAGTTAAGCTGCCATATCTTCTGACCAGCTCTAATTACAAATCTCAGCTGTGTTCAGAGCAGAATCTGTTCTGTAAACTGTTTTCTTCTAAAAACAGCTTTAGCAGTTCTGACTCTTCTCCTTGAAATCTCCAGCTTGACTTTCCTGTTTTATCTTTTTGTCATCTTCTTTGAGCTATTCATTATGACTTCATTGTCAGAATAATCTTCATATCTTTTTCTCACTGTTTTGGTAGATCTGTGCCTCTCCTGATGGGTCTCTTTTTTTTGACCTCACGACATGGGAAATTTAGCAGGGAGTCACCTGGAGGAATCTCTTCAGGTAAAACACAATTCCTGTTTGATAGGGAGCTAACAATATGAATGAAATTACACCGAATGATACAGGAGTGAGCACGCTCCATCACAAGATGACAGGGACATTTTGATTATCCCCTTCTTTCGTCACCACCTCCCAAACAAATCCATCCCCAGTCTCTCAAATTCCTAGGTTTAGTATGGTTGGGAGTACTAGGAAAAATTCCCTTCTTGTGGAGTTTTGTACATTATGTAGGTTCAGCCTATTTCTTTGTCTGGCTTTTCCTTTCTGTTATGGGGAGGATGTCTGGCATAAGTTTCACCTCAACACACCCAGATCAGAGTTTTTATTTTCCTCAATATCATTTTATCATTTCCCTTCCCACACTTCGCTCCCCCATCAAGCTTTCCCTTCCCATGTTTCTCTGCCCCTCCTTGTATTATTTCCTGCCCTTTCTTTCATCTGTGACTCCTCCTTGATTAATGACCCATGCAGATTTTATTAGGGTGCCTTTACTCCCAGTTTCTGAATCATATACAATAGGGACCAATACCGTTTGCTCTGTTCCTGCAGTGGGCAGTTGAGCTAAACTCAAACCCTTGTCCTTTGTCATTTTACATTTTTTAGCAACATTTCAGAGAAAGACATGTTCAACAGCCTCAGAGGAACCCCTCTGCTTGATTCTTTCAGAAAACATTGCACCATTTTCATGAAATACTGCATCCAGAGCCTGATGCTTAGTCCCATTGAGAGGAAATGGTTGGCAACATATATATGCATGAAGAGAGACTGTGGCAGAAGGCATTTATTTAATTATTTAACACTGGAATGAGTTATGGGGCATAAGAACAAAATGAAACAGTTTCTAAAAGGAATGTGGAGGTAGAGCCCATTCAGATTGCAATGACTCCCCAGGAGAGCAGCAGATATGCATTGCTATGAAGGCAGGAGGCCTGGAGGTAGGCACATTTCAATGGAGCCTGCCTGGCCATGTCACAGCCATTGGTGAGAATGCCTCACCCAAAAAGGAAAGCAACTGACAAATGTCATGTTACTGTTTCTGTGAAGAGTGTGTAAGTGCTGACTTTGATAGCAGAAGTAAATTTTCACTGTAATTAGCTCACAGAATCTGCTCAGCTTCATTTCATTGCAATGGGTGCCTGTGCCCTGGTGCTGGCCGGGGGCTGCAGGGCTGCCATTTCCAGCCAGCTCCAACAGCCCCATGGCAGGGCCCAGCTGAGCCCAGCACCAAGCTGGTGAAGCCTTGGGGAAAGAAGATTTCCAGAAGGGCAGAGCGGGCACAGGCCAAGGAGGAGGCCCAGGGTGAGGGAGAAGCAGCAGAGGGCCCAGGCCCCAGGAGGAGGAGGGCAGGAGGGGCTCCAGGCCCACAGGCAGCAGGGATTCCCCGGCAGCCCTGCAGAGCCCCCCATGGAGCAGATCTCTGCCCTGCAGCCCGGGGAGGGTTCACAGGCCCTCTTATTTTCTCTCTCTATCTTTTTGATTATAGGCTGTGAGTGATCAGTTGAATGGGAGTTTAGCCCTTAGCCAGGGTAACACACCTCACAGTTACTCATCTCCTATCTAAGATCGCAAAGTTTAATTTACCTTCTTCCAAAGAGAGGGCAGGGGGAAATCAGCCTAGTTGTGATTTACAAATGGAGTGATGAAAAAATGAGCCAAGGTCTTGGCTTACCTGGTTCGTACAAGAGGGCATAGTCTCCCTTCCAAGCCCTCTGTCAGACTGTCAATGCCAATCCACTCAGAGTACTTGCTTTACTTTCAGAAGCCAAAGTTCTACTCCTATTGCCAATGAACAATGGGAGAAAAAGAAAAAAAAAGAAAAAAAAGAAAAAAAAGAAAAAAAAA